ATCTGTGGTTACCAGTCCCCTACCAGTTTCAATGGGGAATCAAACTACTTTTCAATCATCTCGTACTACCTATCGATTATAACGGCAAACAATAACATCTGTGCAAAAATACATCAATAGGCTTGGGAAACCTCCATGTTTACAAAGTACAACAATTCTTTAGGGGAAAAAAACATTGCATCAGTTTTCACAAACTGTCTCAGTAAGTTGGGATAGCAAGTCCTAGAATATGTAACATTTGGCCATTTTGGCTAGGGAGTTGCTGTCGTAACACATCTGGATCAGTATGCTCTATGGCCTTAAAAATAAGATTGACTGGTGACAAGTAAAAACTGAAAATTATAGGTAGAGTGGAAGGGTAAAAGTAAGACTGGATGGCTGACATAAAGACTGAATAATGATTTGTTCTTATTGGCAGCGATCCATATTATCATGCACAGAGAAAATGGAGAACAATTTTGTTGGACCATCTTTCAGAAAGATTTCCTTACCTAAACAAAATGATTACAAGGTGGGCAAAAAAGTAGTGGGAGTAAGAGTAACTTCTAACTTCCTACCAGCTTCCCCACTGATGTTACTTGTGGGAAGCTGGCAGGAAGCAGTGGAAATCATTTTTCCTCCTCCTTTCCTCACCACCACTTTAAAGGATTTCAGATTTCAGCCTCTGTTCCAAGCAGCCTATTCCTGTCTACCCATTGGGCCTTACTGCAAGCCAATTGCTGAAGTGGAACAACTTTCAAGTTTCTGCCAGCTTTCCAATTGGCTTTGCTCTGAAATCACTGACCAATGGAACTGCTTGTCACTTTGCTAGGAGGGGAATAAAGGGAACCATGGACTACCAGTATGAGGAAAACTCCACCCCACTCCTGATTTCAGCCTGTCCCCAAGTTCCCCTTCCATCCAAAGGTTTGATCTGTCAAGTGACCCCATCCCCCATCCAGCCCTACCTTGCTAGTCAGCAGCTAAATTGCTGCCTTGTCCTTCCCTTTCCACTCACTGCCATTGAGGGATTTCAAATTTCAGTCTTGATTCTTTTCCACCAGCCAACTGCATATAGCAGCCAGAGACAAAAAGGAATGAGAGTAGGGATATGGTATTCCCATATTCCCTTGTGTCACACAACCTATGGATTTCTGGGAAATGTAATAGGAAGGAGCAGTAATGCAGAAGTAGCCACAACTTCCCCAAATTTCATTCCCACAGAAGTCATAGGTCTCAGCATTCTTTAAGTTACCCCATTGGAGTTAACTTGGTTCAGTAATTGTTGCCCTATACTTTCCAATTTCCCCCAACTGAAGGTTGCAAACAAACAGAGAGGGGAGTTTTAATAATACAAAGACAGAAGATAATTATGAGGACTTCTTAAAAGCCAGACAAAATACAAACACATTAGCAAAATCACAATATGCCAGCCCTCTTGCTCAACATTTGTTTTCACAGAGAAACCACAGCTTCTATAGAAATTCCCAAGTTTAATTCCTGGCTTTTCACTTAGGAGGATGAGGTAAGAAATGATGAAAAAATCATAACCAAGATTCTGGAGAATTTAATTAAGAAGAGATAAAGGCCTAAATGTTTGCACAACTTAGCTTTTGAATAAGGAACCCAGACCATTTTAACTAAAGCTGTAGCAAAAATATCACCACAGGTGGCAATACTTAGGCATTCTTGACTGACCTCATAAAAGTAACAACAGCTGAACCTGGTTAATGCTTAAATAAGAGACCACCAGAACTTATAGATAAAATGGGAAGTAAAAAAAAAGAATTTTGCAAAAAGGCAAAGGCAAAGACAAACTATTTCCATACTGTTGCCAAGGAAACTTCACAGATATTGTTGATATAATTACCAGGAGTCAAAATTAGTATCAAGGGAATTTTTACTGTTTTTCTCCACACCTATAACTAGGCCTGGTCAACAGGGGCATTAGCATGAGGTAGAACAAATTGGAAGTGACAGAAGAGACTGTTAACACTTTTTTCTGGAAGGTGACATATGGCATACTTTTTTTTTTTTAACATGCAGCCAATTATAAAAACTGGACTTCTGGAACAAACTTTTTGCCACAGAAAAACAGCTAATCTGCTTTCATCTTGTCACTGTAGATGACTTCATGGAGAACCTTTGACAGACTATAACACACAGGACAAATAAGCAAATGTTTTGCTTGTAGCAGACTCAGGATCAAGCTTCCTCATTTAAAGCAACGGTGTCCAATCTTTTGGCTTGCCTGAAGAATAAAGAGCCATATATAAAATATGTATAATATAGTTAATATATATAAAGAGCCAACTTCTTTTAATTTTTTTTATATTTATTATCTTGTGAGATTGCATTACTAGTTTCCAGGACCACAGGTGGTCCACAGACTACAAGTTAGTCACACTTGATTTAGAGGAGTGTTTCTCAACCTTGGCAATTTTAAGATGTGTGGACTTCAACCCCCAGAATTCCCCAGCCAGCTTTGCTATCGGCTACTGGAGAATTCTGGGAGTTGAAGTTCACACATCTTAAAGTTGCCAAGGTTGAGAAACACTGATTTAGAGAATGAAAGCTACTGCCACCCCAAGAAAAGCAGACCTTTTTAGACAGATCAATAGCAAACCTGCAATAAAGCATGCAACATTTTTTAATGGTGGTATTAGTTTTAGTTCAACTTAATTTTTTGGGAGGTCATATTGTTTATGGATGTTACATTTCTTTTTATTACAGTATTGTTTTTTCTACTACATTATTTTGTTAGGATCTGTGTACATAACAATACTTACCTTTAATATACTACAATTAACAACCACCACTACTGAGAATAACTAACCCAAGAGAAACAAACATTGTGGGGCAGGATAAATTAGGCAAACCCAGTCTGACACAGTTTTTGAAGACATTTTCATTAGCCTTGGTTATATAAGCTAGGACTGAAGAGAAATGTAGTCCAATACATTTGGAGAAAGCTGCTTTAGAGATAAAAAGCTGCTTTAGAGGGGAAAAAAACCTTCACTTTAAAGGAAAGCATCACTGATTCCTCTGGCAGCCAAGTTGTAGCCTAGGAATAAGTCTATGGTTTTCTCAAATTATTGCCCTTCCAGTCACCCCTTTGGCTATGCTTGTTGAACTGCTGGGAGTTGAAGTTCAAAAAAATTTGGAAGGCCACAAGTCCTCCAATACATTTCTTAAACGATTCCCAAGTTTCCACTGCATTAGTTACAGAAACATTGGGGGTTATCACTGACTATTGTTTAAACAGATACCATTAATGTGTCTCACAAACTTTATTTTTCTATATATAGACTTGTACAAAGTTAATGGAACATAGATAGCAAAAGTAAAGTCAATTTAACCTAATCCAGATAGCAGTAATGAATTTGCCCTGGCTGATTGATTTAAAAAAAAACACCAGTCAGACCGGGTTCATCTTTGGATAGAAAACCCTTAGGAAATTCCATGCCTACAGGCTGGCCTGAGATTTTTAAAAATCCTCAAAATATGGTAACAGCAATTACTTCTGCAACATTGCCATGAAAATTCTCTGGCTATGTTTGTGTTCTCACTAGGAGTCAAGCTCTACCCAGTAGAACTTTGCCCATTTAACATTGCTTCCTAATAAAATGCGCTTTTAGATTTTGCAACCTGAAAAATAAATGTGTTTTAAGCCATCCTGTGCTCAAGCAAAAAAAAAAAAAACACCCCACCCTAAAATCTAATTATAGGATTTGACTTTATAGAAAATTAAATTAGATGGTTAATTGTTTGATGTCTAGCTCAAGACCTATGAATATGAGTTATGCATTTTAGATGTGGAGAATTTTCTCTCCTGGTAGAAAATGTGCCTTCATATTTGACAGAAAATGTTTCTCTATTTTCAGTCCAGTGGGTCTATCTAGTTCTTAAATAAGCAGAGAATATATAGATGTAGATATACAGCAACAGAGTATTCATTCCACATGGCATGACCACAGCTGGATAGGGCACACGGTTACCTTCCAGATACATTCACTGCTACCCAGGAGTGCCTGTTACAAGCCAAGATATCAAAATGAATGTGTGAAAAAAATATTACCAAATGATGTAATTATGTACAGATAATACAAAAATTGTGACATTTGCATGATGATGTAACCATAAATGTGGTATCATCTAGTATCTCTTATTCTCCCCATCCTGGCATTCCCAACTAACATCACAATAAGTGATGGAAAAAAGTTCAAATAATTTTTGCCAGGGATTTAGGTATTTGGACCACAGGTTAATTCTGCATAAAGTGATTTCATATATTTAGACCCCAAAAGCATTGTACAGAACATGTTCCCATAACTTGGTCCTCTCCAGATAGCAATTCTGAAGTTATAACCCAACCATAGATGAAGGACAGCATGCTTGGGAAGAGTGACATGAAGTGAGCTTCCAAATCAGGCAGTACCAAATTTTAAGCTCAGCCCCACCCTTCCCTGACCCACTTTGTATAACACCGGAGAATGGGAGCATTTTTAGCCACCCAGTGTGGGAAGCCATATAAATTGAATAAATAAACACATACGGCAAGGAATGTGTGTCTTGTATTTAAGTACAAGTATTTAATCCAGGCTTTTACTGTCATGTGTCCTCCAAATAGGTTAGCTTCCGATTCCCGTTATCCAGTCCCGTATGGGCCCTTCCCCATATCTGGAGCACACTTGCTGGGAAGATTCGGAGAAGGACTTAAATTTAGTTAACTGAAGACGGCTGGAAATTTCTAGCAGCATTACTACTAGGCCAACTCCCGGCGACCACGAAGAGGCGTACCTTTTCACCTACTCTTTCCAGTATCGAGCCAGCTGGCTGTTTTCTCGCCCGCTCGCTCGCCCGCCCGCCCAGTCAGTCAGACTCCCTCACGTTATGCCACCTCCTACCCACTCCGGTCTTCGGCCAGTTCTCCTACCCACTCCGGTCTTCGGCCTACAACCTGCAGCCGGGTGGGGTGTCCCCCGCCCATGCACAGAGGAGGGCGGGGGGAAGAAACTTACGCGTTGCCCACGTGGATGCGGGGCGCCACTTCGTTGCTGTGCGCGCTGGGGAGGCTGTAACAGCCACTGCCGTTGGCCAGCAGGTCGTTGAGCTCTTCCACCGAAATCTGGAACTCTGACATGGCTCGCTCGCCTCGCCGATATGGGCAGGGCCGCCTCCACGCTCCTTTCCCCGGGTCCTGCTGATAGGAGGGGCCGCGATCAGCTGGTGCACGGCCAGCAACTCCCAAACCGGCCAGGAGGGAATGGCGCGGATCTAAGACCGTGCGCCTTAAGGGCTAAACGAGCTTGGGCGTCCTAAAGTGACCGTGTGGTCTTTTATGTCTGGAACCGGGAGGGGGCGGGGGAGGCTTTCTTTCGCACCAAATTACATATTTAAGGTCGGCTCTCTTCCGAATTAGAGCACAAGTTCAGGGGCCCATCGTGAAATAGTACCTGTCTGGGTAGAGACTCACGCACTTTGCCTATGTGTATGTTGCACGCTCAGATTCATTTGTTGTTATGTTTACCATTTAATGCTACAGGTGCTTGGGATCGATTTTGGAGGGAAACTCTAGTTCCCGGTGTGTAAAGGTAATAAGGGCTGCTAAAGCAAAAGTTCAAATGTTTTGTCCGATGCTTCTCTTGTACCAGAGAAGTGACATCTCACACTAGGTGAAAGAGACCCTTGTTCCACATTAAGTTTTCCCCCAAGGTCAAGATCATTTATGTAGAAACTCCACCCATTCTTGGTTTTACTCAACAGACTATGTTCAACCTATTGTTCTCATTTTTAAAATGGCCATTGCAAAATTATGGGGTGTTCCAATTATATGTAAATAAACTATACAAAATTCAGCAGGTTTACATTTTTCACTTAACCCAATTTTCTGAATGTGCACAGTACAATGAGCATAAACTAATCCCACAGCCAGTGTTCACATGATGCATTAGGCTGGACTATACTTGGTTGGTTTATAGTTTTATGTGTCACAGCTGTTGAACTTGATGAATTTTAGCTGCAGTGGGAGTTACTTGCTTTCAGGAGAACTTGCTTCCTAAAAATGTATTTCTTTCTTATATTTATTTCCTTTCTTTCCTCCAGGAACTGAAAATGACCTGTATGGTTGTTCCTACTCTTTCGTTTTATCTTTATAGTACTCTCTGTGTAGATTAGTGTGAAAAATAATAGCTGTGTTCACATAATATCCCATTAGTTTGCTTAACTATGGTTTCTTCAATAAATTGCAATTAGCTAAGTTCAAACAATCAGTAGACTCTTTCAACATGCATAGAGTATGTTTCTCAGTATTGGATGCATTTTTTCCTTTGCAAAATAGGCAATACTCAAGGTTTGATTTATTTTTACAAATTGGTTACTCCAAACATATCCTCAAGGAACAATTTCTCATCATTCCTGCAAAACAGATTCGCATGCGCGCACGTGTATACACACACGGAGTTTTCAACTTAACAACCATAGTTGAGCACATTTCCTTTGCTAAGTGAGTTTTGCCCCATTTTATGACTTATGCCATCATTGTTAAGCAAATAATTGTAGTTAAGTGGATCATGAGATCATTAAGCGAGTCTGGCTTCCCCATTGACTTTGCTTGTCGGAAGCTGACTGAGAAGATTAGAAATGGTGATCACACGAGCCCAATACAGGGCAATTGTCATAAATATATGCCAGTTGTAAAGCACCTGAATTCTGATCATGCGGTTATGTGAATGCTGCAATGGTCATAAGTGTGAAAAACAGTCATATGTCATTTTTTTCAGTGCTGTTGTAACTTTGAAAGGTCACCAAATGAATGGTTGTAAATTGAGGATTACCTGTGTGTGTATGTACATATGTGTGTGTGCATATATATAATTTTTATTAAGAATTTTGATTATAATACAATTTAAATGTAAATAAAAGAGAATAAAAATGCAAAAAAGATAAAAGAATTTAATAATGAAAGAGAAAAGAAATATATAAAGATGTGATTTCCAACCTTCATTGCAAGAATTATAAACAAATTTAGTGATTCTTCCCACCCCTCTGAGGTTACAAATATACTTCCCATATTCAAGCTCTTATCCACAAACAAATCCGTAAGAATCATCTTTTCAGTCTTGATGTCAGCAGAAAGTCCATAAAGGGTTGCCAGAAGTAGCAATCTTATTTTAACCTTGATCAACCAACATTTTTTTCTGTTTCTAACAGTCTTAATCCTTAGTTCATTTAAATTTTGTCATAGATTTTGATTTCTCTTCATTTTGGGGGGGGGGGGTAGCATAATGATTCAGTGGTCAAGGTGCTGGGCTTGTCGGCTACAAAACATCACGCAATGAGATAAGCTTCTGTCCTTCCCCTCGTTCTGCCAACCTAGCAGTTCGAAAGCATGCAAATGCAAGCAGATGCATAGGTACCACTTCGGTGGGAGGGATGCTCCATGATGTGATAATGGCTACATGACCGTGGAAATGTCTTCAGACATCTCTGGTTCAACGGCCCTTAAAACAGAGATGAGCACCACCCCGTACAGTCAGCAATCACTAGCAGAATAAGATCTGCTGGGACTCCTTTACCTTTACCTTCTTTGTCCCGTTCTTCAAAGCTACAACTTTTAAATTTGCAAATATGTCTTCTTAAACTCCAGTTTTGTCTTCCTGGACCGTAGTTCTTTCTGTTGGAAGAAGAGATGGGGAACTAAGTGGTGGCGAATTATCCTCTGACTTCTCTTTTCCCTCTTTCTAGCTTTCTTGGCTTGGATGTTGGGATGGCATCCTTGTTTTCGTTCTGCTAAATTCCCTGTGCATTTGGTAATAAAGCTCACCATGGCACGAAAGGACACTGCATCTCTGCCCACTCTGAAGATATTGTTGATTGGAGACAGCGCAGTGGGGAAATCCAGGTGCATGGGCAGGGTCACAGCATGGGAAGGCAGCGGGGAACTTTGTTCCAGAGAAAAAGGCAGATAGGTGTTCCTTGTGTTGTATTATTTTTTCCCTCTTTTGTTCCTGTAGCCTTTTGCTGAGATTTGCTGAAGATACATTTGAGCCATACCTCAGTCCAACTATTGGTGAGCAATGCTGCCTGTTCATATATGAGAAAAAGAGGGGGGGGATCAGAAGTGTGATTATTGTAGCCTCCCATTTTGATAGCCAAGAAATCAGGGGTAGGCAACCTTGGCTCTTTTATGACTCGTGGACTTCAACTCCCAGAATTGGCTGGCTGGCTCAGGAATTCTGGGAGTTGAAGTCCACGAGTCATAAAAGAGCCAAGGTTGCCTACCCCTGGCCAAGATAAACAGATTACTTAAAGACACACAAACACACACACACACACAATGTTAGCGTTCCTCATACTTGGCCTTTTAACCAAATTTTAATGCATGCTATATTGTCCAAACCTGAAATAGCTACAATTCCAAAAATTGAAATTTGTATCCAAGATTTATTGTACAACTGTAAATAATTGGTAGGCAGTGTTTTCTGTTCATTAACCAGTTCTTTAAATTAGCTTGTGATGTCAATGTACAGGTAGTATTTGATCTATGATAGATTGCTTAGTGACGGTCTGAAGATATGGCCAACCCAAAAAAGGAGACTTACAACTCAAATTTGAAGTTCCCACGGTCAGTCCCCTCTACAGTCATGTGACTGAACTTATCATTTGCAGCACAATGGTGATTCACTTAATGACCAACACAGGGACATAAAGAGACATAAAATTGGGTCAAACATGTGTTTGATGTTTTACAACCATTAAAGCATATGACCCTGGACAACTTATAATCTGTGTTTAATGGCTGAAAAGAAATTAACCATAGATTTTTCAGAAGTAACATCCAAGTTGGGATAATATAGAGATCAGGATTTGGGTGAATAAATTTGCACAAAGTATAATAACAAAATATGTTTATGCTACTCTTCTTTAATTGCATTTAATCCATAGTCTAGTTTGGCAAATTAGATAAGAATTTCTTACTCACACTTCTAAAAACTGATCTAAAATGCCCTCACCAGTCTTCTCTAACCTGCTACTTCCCAGACATGCTTAGATTGCTGTTCTGATTCTTTATTATTTCTCTAGCAGGATCCATATATCATCACCAAGCCACAGTATAATTTTATTTGGTTTGATTTGCCATGTTTTTCTGTAAACTAACATTGATGGCTTAGCCCAGAGGTTCCCAGCCTTGTTGAGCCAATGAACAATGTGGAACTTTGAGAATGTATTATTCTTACAAAATAATAGCTCTGGTAATGTGGCCAATCACAAATCATCCATTCAACAAGAGGGTATGCTCCAAACAAAGCAGTAGTAGCATCAATCCTTTTTATTTTCTAAGATGGCCTCCAGGTTCTATGTGAGCTCCAGAAGCAGTCTTAGAAAAAGATATTTATCTTAAAATTATTAACTAAATGAAGCAAACAAGTACTGCAGTTTTCCAATTGTCTATTTTCTAAGAATAGATATTGCTGGGGATCTTGCTAAAACTGCAGGTTATGCCTAATGCTGCATTACTTTCTATTTGTTTGCTCTATTACTGTTAGATCAGAGGTGGTGAACCTATGGCACGCGTGCCAGAGGCGGCACTCGGAACCCTCTCTGTGGGCACGCACGCCATGCCCCAGAGATAGCAACTGTCCCTCTTCAACCAGTCGCCAAGGTCCCACGTGGCCGGATGCATCCCAGCACGGCTGGTTTACGTCTCCCATCCCATCCCTCCTGGCCTCGCATGCTCTTTTCCTGGGCACGACCCACTGCATCGCCTCCTCAGCTGTCGGCCGTCTGTCCAGCTCAGAGGCGGCTTCTCTAAACTTCTGGTGGCGGGCTGCGGAGCCCCGGAGTGCGCTGGTCGAGGGGCCGGCAGGCTGTGGCTGCTGACGGCCCAAATGCACTCGCTGGCCTCTGTGTGTGTGGGCCGATGGTGTCAGGCAGCAGCAGCCCCGGCCCCTACCTCGCCTTGCCCTGCGACAATGGCACCCCAGCCCTGCCTCGCCTTGCCTCACCTCACCCCGCAGGACGAGCCTCCTGCCCAAGGCCTCACCTGCCAGAGACCCCCTGGATCTCCCCGAACCCTGTCCGGCCCCCATAGGCATCCCACCCCATGAGCAACATCGAGGTGACCACACCCACCTTGGCCACACCCACCCAGTCTGTCATGACCAGTCACACCCACCAAGTGGGCCACGCCCACCTGGCACCCGGTGATAAATAAGTGGGTTTTGGGTTGCAGTTTGGGCACTCAGTCTCTAAAAGGTTCGCCATCACTGTGTTAGATCATTGACTCTATTATTGTCAAGCAGCTGGAAAGTGGGCTCAGGGTTGCTCTCAGATGCCATGTTAGGGACAGATGGCTTGGTGTATTTTGCTAATCCTGTGTTTATCTGTTTGGTTATCAGGTGTTGACTTTAAAGTGAAGAAGATGGTGGCTGGGAATTTTCCCCTTCAGCTAGCAATATGGGTAAGCAGCATAGTCTCCCTTTCCAATCCAGGAAAATAATGTATTTCTAAAGAAAGGAAAGTAGAGGAGGGGATGGGAGGGGCAGGACAAGGAAGGAAGGAAGGAAGGAAGGAGCAACATTCTTTCAATCTATGGTAAGAATACATATTTCTGAAACTGTCATTAGAGTTGCATAACATGCATAGAGATTACCAGTTTGCCCACCCTCATATCCTTCAGATTCCAATTCAAAGTGCACTTTCTGTTATTCTGAGCTGTTCTGGTCTTTTCAGACCTTTTCAGACCTTTTCAGAAATTGGAACACTACAAGGCTGGAGCATGTTTACATGCAGGGAAGTACCAGCCAATCAATGTTGCCCTTTGGCTCTGCAGGTGAGCAGAAAATCGCCAGATAGTAGAGCTTAACTGTCTTATTCTGCACCCAGATTCACATCAAAACATCTCTTTCCTCTCAAAAATAAATTGGTTCGGTTCTCCCAAGTTTGTATCTTTCCCCTTCAAAGCAACTGATACTGATATACCAGGATGCTAAGGAAGGAAAGTAGGAGCTGGAAGGCAGGTGAGCTGGAATTCAGTGAGAACACAGTTGCCCCCTCTCAGACCAAGGAGACACTAAACCATTTGGGCCGTGATATTTGCTGCCTTGTGAGTGGCAATAGAATTGTCCCCCAATCCTTAACCAGATCTGCACTTTCACCTAGAAGCCTCCAGATAGTTGTATCTTCAAACAGAAGCAACGGTGGATTTTTATCTGATCTTAACTTCTGGTACTGCAGTGACTCACTCATGTACATATAACATCTTTTCATACTTGCCCTCTGCCTCGAGTGGGAGATTGATAATTTTTAAAATAAATAGTGACCTATTGATATTGTGCAAATCCAGCTTTTGAAAAATAAAGAATCTGTATAATTACTATTATAATTTTTCCATTAAGACTTTTCCCCTCTTTGATTGTTTTTCTAATTATTCAAAATCCTGGATTTTCCTATGCTTCTCAATACTCAATACTTGATGGCTGTTGAGGATGTGTGCACACGTATGAGTTTAGGTTACTTAAATAATCCATCTTACATAATTGACTCTGCTGCTCTTTCCTTACGACACAGTTGCTGCAAATTTCTTGCAAGGCTCTGCGACCATAGAGTCCTTTCAATGTACAACTCCATCGCTACTACGTCTTGCAAGAAGAAGTTGGGACAGCTATAAAATCCACTTGGTAATCCTAGCATCTTTCTTGTAGACTCAGTGGCCATAGAATTCTGTAAAAATCAGGACTTTGGAGCCTTTGACTGAGGTGTTGAGAGGAGTCTAAGGCTTTGAAACTTTGAGAACTTAAAGGGGGAACAGAAACTTTATGTATACAAATGTGTCTGTATGTGCAGAACAAATTGTGGGCAGTTCTCAATTCTGCCCCCTGGCATCAAATGCAAATCTTGAAGCCAGGAGCTTGACTTTCCTGATACATAGGCTGCTGTATCAATTTCATAGCTGCCCACATTCATGTTTGGAACTGAAGAAAATATGCAGGGAGAAATATCATATGCAATCTTACTATATATATATATGTATGTATGTATGTATGTGTATGTGTATGTGTCAAGATGACTTTCCCTAACTCCCACAAATCTTAAAGTCCTGTGGCAATAGGCGAGCGGTGAAGCAGCAGGTGTAGAATCACTGGGAGCTGTGGACGTGGACCTGCCCACAGGCGGCTCAGGTCTAATGGTCGCTTCTTGCTGATGAAGCAACAACTGGATTCGGCATCTATCTGAGTGACTGAGCAGCCCTTTTTAGGACCACACTGCTCACCTCCATAGTATGAGGAAGGGGCTAGAAAATGTGCCCTAAACATTGTTGCTTCTTTTAAACCCTGTCCAGCCTACTGCGGTTGGAGGGGATCCCATTTCATGCAGTCAAAACACAAAACCTAAGACGAAACACAAGGTGTTACCACTTATCATTGGTACATGGAATGTACGTACGCTTCAAGACAACCCATTAGCAGATCGCCCAGAAAGAAGAACAGCTCTGGTAGCCAGAGAGCTTGCAAGATTTAACATTGACATTGCGGCCCTGTGTGAAACTCGTCTAGCCAATGAAGGTCAGCTCACAGAAACAGGAGGCGGTTACACATTTTTTTGATGTGGACGTAGCAGTGACCAACGTCGTGAGTCTGGAGTTGGCTTAGCGGTTAAGAACCATCTTGTCCCCCAACTTGCCAGTCTTCCTAAGGGTGTGAATGATCGATTCATGACACTGCATCTTCCACTACTAAGTGGAAAGCAAGCCACACTGATCAGTGCCTATGCACCCACAATGACAAATCCAGATGAAGTAAAGGACAAGTTTTATGAAGATCTTGATGCCCTACTTTCATCCATGAAGCGCACCGACAGGTTGATTTTACTTGGCGATTTCAACGCGAGAATGGGGTCCGATCATTCTACCTGGGATGGCGTTATTGGTAAAAATGGAATTGGCACGTGTAATAGCAATGGCCTGTTACTATTGAAGATATGTGCTGCTCATGATCTGGTCATTACTAATACCATCTTCCGCCTGCCTACTCGCAAAAAGACATCCTGGATGCACCCACGCTCCAGGCACTGGCATCTCATTGATTATGTCATCGTGCGGAGGAAAGACATGCAAGATGTAAGAGTAACTAAGGCCATGCCGAGTGCTGACTATTGGACTGACCATAGACTCATCATTTCCAAGTTAAATATTCACATCAAGCCAAAGAATCGTCCACAGGGAAACAGAGTTGTGATGAAAAAGATCAACGTCAGTACACTGGAAAACCCCGATGTAGTAGCTTCATTAGTAAAAGAACTTGACAATCAACTCCCAGAGCTGCAAATACAGGAAAATGCTGAGAAGGACTGGGAATGTTTCCGGGACACCTTGCACTCTTCTGCACTTAAGGTTCTTGGACCTTCATATAGGAAGCAGCAGGACTGGTTTGATAAAAATGATGAAGAGATTAAGGCCTTGCTTGCTGAAAAACACCACCTCTATCGTGCTCATCAGAATGACCCGTCTTCAACTGCAAAGAAAAATGCTTTTACTAACACTCGCAGGATTGTACAGAGCAAGCTCCGCAAGATGGCAGGACTCCTGGTTGAGTGCCAAAGCAGATGAAATCCAGAAGTTTGCTGATAGAAGCGACACCAAACGGTTCTATGAAGCCCTTAGATCCCTGTACGGACCTCAGCCCTCAGGAAGCTTCCCTTTACTGGATTCGAGTGGTGCAACTCTCATCACTGAGAGGACTCTGATTTTACAGCGTTGGGCTGAGCATTTCCACTTTGTGCTGAATCGCCCATCCACCATCAATAATGAGGCGATCGACAGAATACCCCAGGTGGATATCAACTATAGCCTGGATGTCCCACCATCAGAGGCTGAAACCTCACAGGCCATCAGTCAGTGTTCCAGTGGTAAGGCGCCAGGATCTGATGCAATCCCAGCGGAAGTCTATAAGGCTGGTGGTGCTGTGCTTGTTGAAAAACTCACCCAGCTGTTCCGGTCTTTCTAGAAACAAGGTTCCATCCCTCAGGAACTGAAAGACGCATCCATCGTGCACCTCTACAAGAGGAAAGGAAATCAACAAGTCTGCGATAATTATAGAGGAATATCACTTCTCTCCGTCGCAGGCAAGATCTTTGCACGAGTGTTGCTAAATCGCCTGATTGACCATCTGGAACAGGGTCTACTACCTGAGACACAGTGTGGTTTCCGCAAAGAGCGTGGCACGGTGGACATGATCTTTGCAGCTCGACAGCTCCAGGACAAATGTCAGGAGCAGAATCGTGAACTATATACCACCTTTATGGATCTCACCAAGGCTTTTGACACAGTCGTGAAGGATTATGGCGCATTATGTCGAAGTTTGGGTGCCCTGACAGATTTATTCTGATGGTACGGCAGTTCCATGATGGCATGGCGGCTCATGTTCTGAGCAACGGTGAAGCCTCAGAGGCTTTCCCTGTCACAAACGGCGTTAAGCAAGGCTGCGTACTGGCACCAACCTTGTTCAGCATGTTTCAGCCATGCTGTCTGACGCCTTTCAGAACAGCTCAGTGGGAGTCAATCTGAGGTACAGAACCAATGGGAAATTGTTCAACCTGCGAAGACTCCAGGCTGTCACCAAGGTAAAGGAGACTGTGCTACGAGATCTTCTCTTTGCTGATGACTGTGCCCTTAATGCAGGATCGGAGCAGGAAATGCAAGCCAGCATGGACAAATTCGCAGTTGCTTTTGACAACTTTGGCCTCTTTATCAACACGAAGAAAACTGAAGTGATGTACCAGCCAGTTCCAAAAGCCCAATACCAAGAGCGTACCATCACAGTGAAGGGACAAAAGCTGCAAGCAGTGGACCAATTTATGTATCTTGGTAGTACCCTCTCCCGTGCAGTGACAATTGACATCGAGGTCAACTGTAGAATTGTCAAGGCAAGTTCTGCATTTGGCAGACTGCGGACTAACGTGTAGGACCGCCGTGGAATAAGCCTTGCTACTAAGATTAAAGTTTACCAGGCAGCAGTGCTAACTATCCTAATGTATGCTAGTGAGACCTGGACAGTGTACAGTGTCAGGCAACTGAATTACTTCCACATGATTTGCCTTTACAGAATTCTGAGGATCCGGTGGCAGGATAAGATACCAGATACAGATGTCCTCTCCAGAGCAGGCCTATCATCAGTTCACACTCTGTTGATGAAAGCCAAGATGCGCTGGGCAGGCCACGTTGTAAGGATGCCAGACCATCACATCCCTAAACAGCTCTTCTATGGTGAGCTGTCTCAAGGAAAGCGATTGCATGGGGGACAAAAGAAGCGATACAAAGACACGCTGAAAGCATCTCTCAAGTCCCTGGATATCGACACCATCTCTTGGGAATTTTTGGCGCATGATCGACCGACATGGCATACCCTGGTTTACCAGGGGTGCCAGACATATGAACACAGAAGGACAATCTTGGCACAAGAGAAGCGAGCACTCCGTAAAGCCAGAGCTGCAAATGCTGAAGCAATAGTGTCCACATTTCTCTGTTCAGTATGTGGCAGAACATTCCGTGCTAACATCGGTCTCATCAGCCATCTACGGACACACCGCTGATGGCCCATAATCCATAAGATGTCAAGGTCTTCATCGAAATCGATGGACGAACAACAATGTGTATGTGTATGTATGTATGTATGTATGTATGTATGTATATATATATAGAAATCTGATGATGTCAATAGTGCTGGCCGACGAAAACTCAGCTTTAGCTTTTATATTAAACAGTTTTTGTTTTAATATTATCCTGGTGCTCAGACTATTTTATTTCTATGATATGGATTTACCCAGGATTCGCATTTTTAGCATAATTAGGGATCATACACACACACACACACACACACATACACATATATGTGTGTGTATATATATGTGTGTATGTATATGTATATGTATATATATGTACAAATAATATATTTTCTTCTCGTAAACATGCTACATTGTCAGACCTGGAAAAATTTTGTTTTATAATAAAAGCCTAGAGCTCATGATGGCAGATTACGACTTTAGATTTCAGCTTTAGAGCCTCCCAACCTTGAACACATCTGTTAGCAACCCTGAAGGCAGTTTTACTTTTTGCAAATTTTAACTTTTTAAAAAATATTCATGCTACAGAGTTTTAAATTACCCTTTTTTTAAAAAAACAACAACAACCTTGTTTTCCTTTTGCAGGACACAGCAGGGCAGGAAAGATTTCGAACATTGACTCCAAGCTATTATCGAGGTGCTCAAGGTATAATTTTAGGTAGGTAATAGTTATAGCACGAACATAATCAACCTCACTGAAGCCAAACATATTAAGGGCAGAAGTAAATGGAAGTACATCTATTCCTCTCAGGGTAGCTGGCATAAACGGCCTCAGAAGAAAAATTGATGGCATTTGCTCCTATGCTACTGACTTGTTTGAATGTGCCCTTCATAATCCAAAACCCTATTTGGTGCAATAATTACAATTCCATTGCATACACCATGGGGAAAAGTACTTTTGTGCATATATAAAATACGGCGCTTTGAATGCTCGAGAAATTGAATTGAAGCAGAAGTGCCTTCACAGCAGTCCCATATTTCACTATTGCATTCTGGGAAGAAAAGCTGGTTCTCAACATGTGGTATACTTAACTTGTGCTATAGTAATCTACAAGCTGCTGCTTCCCCCCCCCCCTTCAATAAGGGGGGAAAGATAAAAATGCAGAATAACTTTCTAGTACAGATGGCTGCCAAGCAAAGGTAGACTCCCTCTTGATGGCCAGGGCAATATTTGAAGGAGGACTGGCATAGATGGGACAAAGATGTAGGGGGCATGTGCCCTCACCACACAGCTAAATGAAGCCAGGATCTTCCATTTTCTTCCTGAATTTAGGGAGAATTTTGAGATTTTTCTCTTTGTGGATATATCTGTGTTTTTTTTTCCAAGAACAGCAGACAAGAAATCTGGTGGCCTTCAAATGTTTTCAGCCAGAGTTATTATCCTCCCTTGCCATTAGACATGTTGGATAGTTTATTTATTTTATTTTTATTTTAAGACTTATATGCCGCCCTTCTCCTCCATGGGACTCAGGGCGGCTCACAGCATATTAAAAACAATACAAAAACATTTCCCTATAAAAGCCAATTAAAAACCAAATATTTGTAGCTGTGTCTTGTTTAAAATCATTAAAAATTGTCCCTATTTAAAAATTCACCCTAGGTCAGTCCCGCTTGCTGAAAAAGC